TTTTTATTATCTTTATGATATTATAATTAAAATAATATGTAATTATATTTTGTTTATTTTGTTTATAACTATACTATACTATAATAATATTGCTTTAAACATTTATCTGATTATCAATGCAAACCATTGTATGGCTCCTTAGACAATTTTTTTATTATCTTTATGATATTATAATTAAAATAATATGTAATTAGAATATAATTATTTTGTTTATAACTATACTATACTATAATAATATTGCTTTAAACATTTATCTGATTATCAATGCAAACCATTGTATGGCTCTTATTTGTTCTTAGACAATATTCTCTCGTCATTTCGAATTTTGCACTTGCTTTACGATGGCTTACATACGAAGAGTCACACTTTACACGCACGTAATTGCGTTATTGATAGGTGTAACTCAAAGATAATTATTGTACACACCTCGGCAGGAGTTCTCTCGATTAGCGGTATGTTAATATATGAGCGAACTGTTGCACAATTCATTAGTTCAACTATGTCTGCGCCATTCTCATCGGCGAAGGTGGCAGCGACTTTCGTCGACTATCCTCGGACTTTCCATTTCTCTGGAAGGCGCTAATTCCATCATGCGTCAAGGTTGTCACACTTTTGCGACTCCCTCATAATATTTACGCCTACACTATTTCAGGATTCAATTATGCAAATCGCAATATATTGCATCGGCTGATCTTCACTCTCCTCAACTCGTTCTCACTTTTCACTTTTATCTCATATCGATCTTCAACGATATTGTTGCTAATTGTTGTCGATCGGTGTAAAATGCGTTATTTTTTTGGTGATCGTTCACGTGACTATAGAGCAGATTCAACGTCTCCTGTATTTATGTAGGTATTCTACGCGAAATCTAATGCTTGAGGAACTAGCTTTGCTGGGAAACACATTGTGTGCAATTTAGTTTTTCTCGTGTCGTTACAAGCTGTCGTTGCGTTTCACAACGCATTATCGCGTCGATATGCATCGAGATATCCGCATGTCTCAACGGAGTATCGAGTTAGACGCATTAAAGTGACAAGTTCCAAGACTGTAATGTCGTAACACTAGTGTGGAAATCGGAAAAATAGAGAATGGAGCTTCAATATCTTTCATGCAACACGGTCTTGCAATGTCTCGCAATGACCTTCTTTTAACTTCTTCGCGTATCGAGCAATTTAATTGTCCAATTCAACGAGAATAAACTTTATTCAGAGAGTATTTATTTCCAAGATTTATTTGTGACCAGAGATTAACTATTTAATTGTCCGAACAATTTCACACACTATATATCCTTTTAAACTTAAATTCATAAATTAATGGAAGAGAATTATTTATAAATATTCTATACAATTACTTAAAACAAGTTTAAAATATTTATTGAGAAATAATTGGGGGTGGCTGAAAAAAAATATATTTCAGAAAAAATGTGTGAAATTTCTGTATTTTTTTACTGGATAAAAAAAATCTTTTCTTTGTACTAAAGTAATTCTATCGAAAAGAAAAGTGGATGATTCTGGCGAGACACCTCGTATAAAAAAGACAGAAAAGGGGAACGGACGTTTTTCTGCATACGTGTGTTTACACGTGCGTACTTGTGCGTGTGTCAATGTACTTTACGCGTTCTTGACCTAGCGCCTAGTCTTCGATCACATTCTCGTTTCACTTGCCATTGCATAGACTCTTGTATAACGCCGATGGTGAATGCAATTCAATCATTTTCGCGACGCCGATTGAAAGCTAATTAATAAGCATTAGAAACGCGGCAAGTGGCCGTCGTATATGGAAAAGCGCGAATGAAATTCAGGCCGTTCCGGCCAATTGCGAAAGTGCGTACATTAACTCCTCCTATGCGTTTGAGAGTTAAATTTTTCGATCACGTGTCGCGCGTCGCGTCGTTCCAACTGTCGATTTCTAATATATGTAATTTCAGCAAGTCGATTGACTCGTCGCTTTCGAAAAAGTTTTACATTGTTCGTGATATTCTGTTATAACGGGTCATCCTTAATCGATATTCTCCGTTCGATTCTTCCGAGTTTTCCGACGTCTACGCAACAGGTGGAGGCCAAAAATACGCTTCCAAATCTAGAAAGCACGCGCGCTATCGGTGCCCAGCCATGAATCGCATTAGCCTCTTTCCTCCTCTGATATTTTAAAGAGAGAGTTTCCGTCGTCGTCACTATACTGACGTTGTGTAGTATAGTCGCTCTCGATAAAGTTTTAGTGAAAAAAAGAAGAAGAAAGCACAGAACATCAGACAAACAACTACTTATTTAATTATACAGGGTGTTCCAGATCAGGTCAATGAAACTTCAGGATCTTATAGGGAATTGAATCTGGAACAAAAAAGTTTCTATAAACATAGTCCGGAAACGCTTCGTTAAAAAGTTATAGCTAATAAACTCTCTATAAGTAATTAGTTATGATCAAAATTTAATGAAAATATTTTTATGTTTGCATTTGCAATGTTTGCACTACGAATGTAATGTTTACACCATTGAAAGATGTTTTTTTTTCAAGTTTCTGCTATTTTCATTGTTTTGAGCTTATTTTCTTTTGAACGCCTTATCAGAATTAAATGAAATTGATGTAATTTAGTTTGTTATTTAATTACCCATCAGATTTATTTTGTTACTTTTTTTCGAATAAATGAAGAATTTTGAAGTTATTTTTAAAAAACGTGATTTTTCGAAATTTATTAGCTATAACTTTTTAACGAAGCGTTTCCGGACCTATGTTTATAGGAACTTTTTTGTTCCAAATTCAATTTTCTATAAAATCTTAAAGTTTCATTGACCTGACCTGGAACACTCTGTATATGGACTTTTTTCCGGATAGAGAAAATATACCAAAAAAATCGAGATATTATATTTCTGCACGATATCGATCTGACAAAAAGTTTAAAAAATCACGACGATTGAATCTTTGCAAATCGAAAAATCGAATCTATCTAACCTTCTTTTGACTCCAGACGGCATTAACTGACGGTTTGCCTCGACGGATGTCCGACTGGTCGATCACATCGTCATGCAATAAAGAAGAGGTGTGGATCATCTCGGAGATCATCGCTACTTGTCGTTGCGAATGCGAGAGAACGCTGAAAAAAGAAGCAAAAGCCCCTTTGTTGTAGAATGAACCATTTACGCAGAATCATTATAGCCTTTTGTTAAATATTTTTAATTATAAATAATTAGGATTGTAAAAATTACTCTAAAAGTAACTCAAAATAACAAGCCATTACAATTTCCGTTACTTTTTTTAACAAGTCTATTACAAGTCAAGATTATATAACACGAATATAAAATTTACATTTTTTAAGCATTAATAGCAATTTGAACATTCATAAGCATTTTTTATATTAAAATATAATAAAAACGATATATTTTCGATATTGATATCGCTCAAGAAAAAATGAATTTACAATTATATAAGATCATATATATGGTCCTATATGATCTTATATCTTACATCTCCATTTTTTCTCAGGCGCTATTGAAGTATAAAGTATGTATAATAATTTTAATAATAATTCGAATTTTATTATTTTAATAAAAAAAATTAATAATAGAAAGGAAGAACTAATTAGAGCTTAGACGCAGTAAATAGTACGTAAAAGTTACATGTACGAGATAAACTAAATTTAATTTGCCCAATATGTTAATCGCTTCCAATCTTTTCATTTTATTGATACAAGATTAAAGTTTAAAAAAATTGATTAAAAAACGCAAGACAAAATGTCATCGCAAGAAAAATGGTTGTCAGTGATCTAAAACGTTATTACAATAAACATGGATCGCATCGCAAATCATATGATATTACGCACAAAGAAACATGTAACAGATAAAATAAGAATAATAAATAAAGTCAGTAAAGAGAAGCGTCAGATGTGCCACGTATTGAGCAAAAAAATTTCGGATGCGAGCGTGAAGTAAGTATATAATAATTAAAATAGAAGTTCGAAGGACAGCGGGCACAAATAAAAACTCAACGTGCCAGATATGCATATACCAACGAATTTTTTGAACGTGCATTATTTTTTTGAGTTTCCTTGAACTTTATTTTGGCAATGGCTCATTTGGTCCTTATGACAGTGAGATGAGTTCCGTATGCATTGAGTTTGACATTTTAAAGCCTCTTTAGTAGATTTATATCTACTATTTATAATATGACACGTCTGACGCTTCTTTTCACTGATTTTATTTATTATTTTTATTTTATTAATTATCTGTTTCTTTGTGCATGATATCATACGGTCCATCTTTATTATATAATAATATTTTGTAGATTGATCTTGCGACATTTCGACTTGCGTTTCTTGATCAATTTTTATATTTTGAACTATTGAGAAGGATCCAAAGGGTTCAAAATGTTTGGCACATTAAATTTAGTTTAATCATGTAACTTTTTTATACACCATTTTTTATGCATCCAATTTTTAGATTAATTTTTATGTAAAAATTTTGGATCTGCAATAATTTTTTCCAGCGTTTCCTAAATTATAGGATTCTGATGAAAATATCTATAAAAAATATAAAGTCCATTTTATATAAAAATATCGAAATTATTCGTCTAAAACTAAAAATTTCGCACTTTATTTTCCCCGTAAATTCTAAAATCCTTTCATTAGAATCGGGAATTCTAGTAATGAGACAACTCTTGCATGATACACGCTTCGTATAATTTCAGCCTTAAAGAGTATCTTATTTAACGAAATAAGCCGTAAATAGCCTGTTACAGTCTAATAATTTTCACACTTTTATGATAACGTGCTTAAAAAAAACCTCGACACAAATCGCGAACAAATTATGCTTTTGCTTTAAAGATCTCTTAATTATATCTCAACCAATCAATATAATCTATTGCTCCAAATCTAAATATATATGTTAGGATAGACACGCTACTGCAGTTTTCATTCACAAGGCTTCCCATTCATGTTTCAGTATAATTTGCTCGCACACGAAATACGTATGTGTGTGTGTGTGTGTGTGTATGTGTTTATATGTATCACTCGCCACTTTCATGGAGATCCGATTCGTCTCCGGCGTACTACTTTGTCAGTACTTTTAATGCTTTCTAAACGTCGTGAGCATATATATACGTTTTCATAATCGCGGAGATTCATCGCTGCATATATTGCTAATAAAAAAAAAAAGATGCAACTCTCTCACGCAAAATATTTATAATCATAAACTTTTCAAGATCTACATTGCTCCGCGCAATTTCAATTCAAAAAATTGCTCATAAAATTTACAGTTGAAGGATACTGATGTAATCATTGATATTATCTGCGCATAGAGTAACAACATTCTTGTCAGCAGCTTGTAAGAATGGGAATGAATGACATCTCTAGTATAAATATGTGAATAATTTTATATTTATCCGCGATTTTCTTGTGCTTGTAATTACGTAATGTATCGACTAGTTATCCTCTACACTTCTACTTATCTTTTAAAAATAAATGAATGCTATTTTAAGCTTTTTCAAAAAGAAGAAAGAGAATTTCATTTTTGCATTTGTCTGCGGTTACATGAGCATGAGTATAGCTTGATCGCTATAAAAATTCTTCCTCGATAAAAATTTCAAAAACGTTTATAGGAATATTTGCGTCCACTTACTTTCTTCCCTTGTGATAATTAATAGCTCGTGCCATGAGTATTGTGAGTATGGGTCGTACCGCTTTTCCCTGGCCATCCAAGTAATATGTGCTTATCGGTTGCAGCTCTTCTTGCGTAGTATTGTTAATAAGTTCCTGAAATATATACACATATCTCCGAATTTTCGATATCAATGAAACATCCAAAGATTCGTATAATAAAAATCATAGCCGAATATCACAAAGTATACAATATATAATAATATATTAATATCTAATATATAGTATTATTATTAATTTTATATGTAATTTATAAATAAAACATCCCTCTCCATACAATTAAAACCGTAACAACGATACGTCAAGTCAATTCTTTAAAATAAGGTTCGCCTACACTGAGAAACAAAGTCGTTAACTTAATTAAATACGTTTAATTAGTTATCATTTTTCTAATTGAAATATTTAAGTATTTAAATCAAATAAATTACTTAAATATTCCAACGTTTAATTAAATGCATTTTAGTCAAGTTAACGACTTATTTTTTTCAGTGTAAGATGAATCAAAAGTTTAGGCTTTGTTTATTTATTTCTGAGGTCATTTTCATCCCTAAAGCATTTACATTTCGCCATTTTCAGACACAGTTCGAAAACTATTCTATTACGGAAAGATAATTCTAGTTTTCAACGAAAAATATCGATCATTTCTATTCCTGAAAAGGATCATTTGCTAAATCTCGTATATTTCAAATTGAAAATAGCTCGAAAGCTATTTATGTCACGATATTTTTGTTACGAAAAGATTATTTCAATTTTTAACAAGAAATATCGGCCTGTAAACTCCTGAATGCGCCTATTACTGAACACGCTGTATTAGATATGATATTAAGCGGCGTCTACAATAGAGATTTTAAGTCCTAAGCCTTAAGAAATTGGCCAATCACAGTCAAATATGACGAGAATACTCAACTGTGATTAGTCAATTTCTTAAGGCTTAGGGCTTAAAATCTTATTGTAGACGCCGCTTTAATCAACTATGATCACGTCCGAGACATTTCCGTAAAACTTGTTCCCGCAACTTCGAAAGGCGAAATGCGTAAGCTAGAGAGAAATCTGACTCTCGTCTTTTCGAAACGGTATTGAAAATCGTTCCGTGAATTAAATATCAACTATCTTCGCTGCAATGAACAAAACTGGATTCCGCCAATCAGACGAGCCGCTTTGAATTCCAGACGTGACACAGACTGAAAGTTCTTTCTGGAATTTGGCCAGAGTCGAAAAAACTTTCGATTTCTATGTCATTATCGTTTTTTTTTCTCACACGACCAGAAATTGAAATTGAGGAGATTCGATATTGTTTAAGTTATCGATGTTATAATAATAATAATAATAATTTATGTATATGATACTCCGATTTCTCTAACTTTCCTCATATAAAGTAACGTTCGTTGAAGTTAAAATGGTTCGTTAAGTGCAATTTCTTTTGTTTCACCGTAACGTTAAATGTCTACAATATACTGTTAAACCGTTTCTATTTTTAAGAATCGATAATTTTAATAAACAAAAATTTTCAAAATTAAAGTATTGAAATTTTAATATCTTTATATCGTTTATATTTATTTATATAAATTATCAGCATATGAACGAGAAAAAAATCAAACGCGAATGATTAGATCGACACATTGAATCCAATTTAGGATTTTACGTTTGCATAAGACTATTCTTATTATTCTGTATTAGTCTTATTATTTTATAATCGACGTGTATACTATTATACTCTCTAGTTGCAATTGTAAAAGTATACAAGATGTGCTTTAACTGAGCTTTAACTTGAGCTTTAACTTAGCTGATACAATCGAGAAAATTTTATTCTATGTGAAAAAAAATATGTAGAAAGTGTAGAATAAATTCTTTTCATACGAGGCTAATAGTTGAAGATATGTAATATAAAGTCATTAGAGATCATTCAAGCTTAAAAAATTGTAAATATATATTATTAATTTTCTAAATTTTAAAGTCAAAACAAAGGCTTGAAAAAAATTTTATTTCATATATTTTCGATTAATTTTTTTTACATAGAAACATTATCTTCCCCCAATTATATCACCAGTTACGGGACACCCTGTGTATAAGGATATATCATATAAAATAGTTGGCCTTGATTCCACACCTTTATTAATTTAGAGACAAAAGCCTATATTAGCTACCGCGTTTCTTGATGGCAGTCGCAGTTGATGAATATTCGAACATTATGTTAAGACTTTGCGGTCAAATTTCTCTGTAATACTTGAGAAGCGTGCCATCTCGTTTATATAGTTGGTTACATGATTCAATTACTTCATGCTCGTAAAAGATGAGAAGAATCAATGATCAATCAACATATTACATTCTTTCCTTATAAGCTACCTGGGCCCTACATACTAATATTATTCCACTCGCCTACGTACACACATTCTAATAATATCTATATAAAATAAATAAATTAATTTTTGTACAAATGTCAAAAATTAATTCCTCAGAGAAATAAATAATTTGAAAGCAATAGGAGAATACAGAATATTTTTGTTTCGATTTAATAGATAACAACCAAATAGAATACTTTCTTTTTCACAGATCGAGCGAATTTCACACTATATGCTGTACACGAACGATTGTGAGTAAAAGTTCTTTTCTCGACCACACACAAACCAGCTGCTTTCGCTGACGGGCTAAAACGCATTAAGTGAAGACGCAGTCACGTAAAAACCGTACGGCTCTTCATCAATATCTGTAAACGTGCCTTTATAACAATCGTGAAAATTCCATGTGCCATTTAAAATTTTAGAAACTTAAGAGGATGCCGGACCGTCCTGTTTTACCGGCCATAATAATTATATATTTGCTTAATATAAAAGTTTTGCAATATGTACGTGCAAAATAAGATACTTCTCCACTCGGAAATGCATGAAAGAATATAAGTGAACGTTTGAAAATATATTTAGAAGCCTAGTAAAAAACATTTCGGTGTGCAAAATTTTGCACACCGAAATGTTTTGCTTCTAAATACATTTTATATTCTTTCATGCAATTCCGAAGACGAAGTTATTCTATTTTGCGCATACAAACTGCAAAACTTTTATATTAAGCAAATATTGTTACGACCTGACGCAAGAAGCCG